GTTTCTTTTCACCTAGAACAGTGCGTTGACGGTAAAAGTTACAACTCTTCTCAGTGTATAGTTCTGAGGGCAATCGATAAATTTGTCAGCAATTTTTCCGTTGATGTCAGAACCTCAAAATGACCGGTTTTGCTAGCGTATGATTACATTTACACGATTACAATGCCCATAGGCTAAGCCTCCACGCGTAGCTCACCTCCAAATCGGTAACTCCACAGTGCTCAAAATACAGCGGTTCTGAGGATGGTTGGCTAGACGATAGTCTGTGTGTAGCAGTTCTCCGGATGCTTTTAACAATGATGTTCAAACTACACATCGGTTCAGAAGCACCAGTATTCATATTCCGTTTTTAACGCTGAAAAATGAAACCTGATCTGAAGGATTGTAACCTTGCACTGTGGAAATGAGCTATGCTGACGTTCGGTCCTATTACATAAGGTGAATACAATTATCGATGCAGGCCCTTCTTTGTTACACAGCTGAATATTAATTTTTTTCCTTGTCTCTTATTGGTCAGTGATTCTTTTGGCCGACGACAAGTGCCTATGTTTGACCAGGAAATATCTAAGTTAAAAGTTTGAGAAACCATTTTACATATAATCTAGCATGTAACCTAACATGATTCAAATATAGGATAGTATATATCAGATTTTTCGATCATGTGCTGTTGATGCTGAAGTACTCTGGTAGGCGCAGTTGGATGTGCAACGGTCTTCTCTAGCTTACATGATCAAGAACATGACGATAATACTGAGATAAACGGAAGTCCCAGGATTGTTATCTAAATTACATGTGGCTAAGCGCTTTCAAACTGCTCAAGTATAAGTGTTCCTTGACTTAACGGTGTCTCTGTATTTGAAATCAACTTCGACCCCGAAACTAGGCACTCAGAGTTCTTGTAACAACTTCGTCTTACCCGATTGCAGTATTATCGTAACTTTTGTTGTGATATATTTTCTTCCTAGCTGGTGGAGCTTAATTCTCATTCACATCACTGTTGCTAATGCAAAATGTGGATAGAAAATGGAAGATTCAGGAAACAACTCATTTTAATAGATGGACTGCCAGCGTTTTTCTTGGAAATTTTATTTCCCGCCAGTTCGGATGTCAGATAATCAAAATATGAAAACATATGTTTAGGGTAGGGTGATTCTCCTCTAAATCTGTTCTTGTCGACTGACCGGTTGACCACAGTAGCTTGTCATAGACTCTGAAATGATGTCGAACACAAAGCAATGGTATAATGTACATGCCACTAAAGCCTCGTCTGTGAAGGAACTGAACATCTTAACTGGAAACCTAGACGTTCAAGGAAACCCTAAAAGAAATCATAATTTGTTTACGCCATGACTATATCCTGGCATTCAAAAACATAGTAGAAGGTACACATTGTCATATTTTCCATATGGTACTGATAGTAGTAATGCTTCTTCAGTCTAAACATCGTATCCTTATTTACGTATCTACGGCGTGCAAGGCCGTAGAGCAAAGCTGTAGAGTTGCATCCCAAATCCCTATGTACGAAGCAATATTGAAATTGATATTAAAGCATACTGTTGATAGCGCGCAATGTGAAGTACGTCCCGCTGTGCTGTTAGCTATATGTAAAAGCTTAATGAAAGTCAGTTAAGTAATAGCAGAAACGATGTACATAATCACTAAAGCGGCCTTATTATCTCCTTCGCCGTACGGGCTTATATATCCGTCGTCCAAATTATCAAGTTTTAAGAATCTAGGGAAGAAATTTTTAAAGTTCATTGAAACGATTGGCTCAAACCACCATAGTGTGAAAGCTACTACGTCTAATGAAACTCTCAGAACAATTTATAACTTAGAAGCGGCCGAACTTGGTTCGATTAAAATGATCTAAAGGAGAGGGAAAATCAGTTCAAGAATCGTCTTGTAACGGACTTCCAGCTGTAGAATGGTTTTAAGACAATACAGTCTACAGAAGAAGCTAGCAGATCAGACGTTCTGACTGTGACGAATCTGGTTTATGCCGCACCATTGTTAATCTGGAAGCACAACGTCAGTAGTTCGTTCACACGCCGGCAGGAAAAAAACCAGCATTTGTTATAAGGAAATGGCTATCCGACCGTTAGCATTTTACGTGGTATGTAGCTCCTCTGGACTTGGCTGATTTTTCTGTTTTTCGGGTCCACTGCTGTACTTTCTCGGGTTCATCCTAAGCATATGCAAGCTTTAAGCTTGAAGACCTGCAGTTCTGGGGCTCAATTGTATGGGTTATTAGCAACAGCGATTTAACAGGTTATTAACATATTTCAGTTGAAAGCGTGAAGCAAGTTAACGATGTGATTTGTAATGAATCATCTCGGTGGAAACGGTAATAAAGGCATTGTAGTGAGTGATCCTCAAAAGGCGACAGCAGTATAAAACCAAAAAAGTACTTTTTAAAGTTTTGACTGCAACTTTGTAGTCTGAACCGGAAACTGGGTCCTTCAGAGTACCACGATACACCTGGCCAAAATATCCTGCGAGAAAAGTAGTAACATCAATAATATAACAGTTACGTACAACAAACCTTTCCCAACCAGTTCTTCGAGAGTGATATGGTCACACGGAATAAGCAGATCCATGACCACGGATCTTAAATCCTTGTTGATGTGCGACATTATACCGTACACTCTTTCCGCGTCTAAGCACAGCATTAAATTAAGAGAATAAACAATCAGTGCGTTTCTAAACAGTTATTATCCCCACCTCTAAATGCCACGGACATGACGACGACTTACGTATTGTCCTGGTCAGTAAGAGTTGCTTACTGTGGACCTCCGGTGGTATTTTTGAAGTAGGACCAGCATTCCGTCATGCGGCTTGGTATGGGAAAGGAGGGGAGTCGTTGGTCGACCGTTCTTAAGCAACTGCTGCTGACCTCTGCTCCGCAAACTGACTAGTATTCGGTCCAATAAGCGGACGCCATGGGAGGCACGCAAGGAGCGTCTAGAAACGTGTTGTGTTGCGGCCAGATGTACTCAGAGCTTCTGATCAATCCTGAATAAGACCTAAGCAGTCGAGGTTTTCGAAGTTTAGACAAAAAAGAAGCACGTGTCGAGGTAGCGGTAGTCTGAACAGTGAGGTAACGGCTCACGTTGTTGCTGGCGTCAGAGACCGGTTCTTGGAGTTGCCTCAGACAGAGTAATTCCAACGGCAAACGTAAACCTCACGTCTATTTGCTGTGCGTGTTAATCCAAATCAGTTCAGCTGGTTTTTTGCCCCCACCCTCCCAAAGTTTGCAAAGCGTTGTTTATTCTTTGGTGCTCCCGGTAATGGCGGAGAATACCGTTTTCAAACTGTTGGTAGGCCCAAACCATCAAATTAGTAAATTGATTAGATCCTGCAGTTCAGTACTAAGGTAGCCTCCACATGAAACTTTGGCATCAATGGATAGACTCATTGCAGTAATGCAGGTAAATTTGTTGCAAAGACGGGAAGGTATGAGGAAAACGGAAGTAAGACAACATAAGTAACAGTGTCATAGAAAACTTTTAATATCGATTTTCAAAACTGGCAGTGTGACTGTGAGAGTATGCATGTCGTGAATGGTTGTTTGAATTTTCGCCTTTGGCTGAAAATCCCCTTTCAAGGAGTCTTAGGCACTAGCAAAAGGTAAAACTTTTATTTACGGATTTTTAATTTATTTCATCCTGAAGGATGGAAGTATTTTCCCCCGGACCTTCTGATCATTGTCTTAATTTTCCCAGCAGAAGCTTTAGAAATTATAGGTTTTTCACTTACGAATTCGAGTAAGGTGTGAGAATCGTCGAGAGCAGTAGTAGTACTGAACGATCCCGATAGCCATCGCTACCATGACTATGATGATGATTATACTGACGATGACCAGTTCTGTCCTGTGCTCGCTGATGAGATCCTGAAACCTTGAGTGGTGGGTTGCGGCGATGCGTAAAATCCGCGATGATCCACCGGTAGACAGTTCTTCGTAGACCGTATCAGCCGTGTCCTGTAAAGATCGATGGACTTCAGCACAGGTGTAACAAAATGAGTAATATATTTTGTTGATTTGCTGTTAATAAATTTGTAGCAACTCGAAACATGCGTGACATCGTCCCTTTGTTCCTGTGTATATTAAAAGCCATTTAAACACGCTTCGACCCAATAGCAGGGGGCAATTGCGATTCTGTTGTAAACAGTTCAGTGCCGACGAATGGGTTTCAAACCAAATAGGAACCCATCGCTCGCTCTTAAGAATATATTGGAGCGAAAATGTCTGTGACTTCATGAGAAAAAACGGTGATTCTTGGGGGAAAAATTATATAACCGGACTTTACTCTGTGTTCAGAACCAGCAGGAAATCTGAGAAGATGCTGAACGGATGATATTACCTAGTGAACAATTGCTTGTTTTTGTTTTTGTCGTCGTTATCTGAGGTATCAGTGTCACAGACAAAGTACTCAGAAAATGTTATCCCAATGAACAGCGTTTAACTCCAGTCACGGCATGAGAACTGCATAAGAGTACGAGATGTACGTCATCCTATCCTCTGTATCGACGACGACACTGTATTACATTACTTTACAGCTTCATGACGTTTGAGCTCCTGCGGTGCGTGAAGGTACTGAGTGTCGTTTCATTCGACTGGCAGACTAATTACCGAAATATCACCAGTGGTGAACAAACTATTGCCCTACCCAATGAAATGAAGCCAGATACATCCAGCCAGCAATACAAGTGCTTAATTTTTGTGGAGCCATGACCTACTTAAATTACCTCCTAGTTCTCTAAAACCAAGAACCAGTGGAGCGTGCTACACCCTGTAAAATCGTGTTGCGACAGATTTTGCGCGTATTAAAGTGCATAACTCATTTTTTAAAGACTTGATTATTGTTTATTATGATAAGTATGCACAGTACTAATATATAAAGTATATTAAGATTATATACTTTCGAGTTGCGAGAGTACTTCGAGGAAGTTCTTAACCTGGAGCAGCCGCAGGAAGTCTCGCCTGAACAGGCAAGGATCTTATTAT